AGTATGTTTCCCACACATCAAATATGTAAGAAATTATTTTACAAGATGCATTAAATTCATTCCCTCCGATCTGACAGTTCGTGTTTACGGAACAGATGGATTGAGTTGAGACTTTCTAGGTATGCTTACTTCTGAATGCATTTAATACGTGGAGTTTACGTTGCCATCTGCACATGTAATGCCTGTATCCGACTGCAGCAAGATCGTTTATTCAGAAGTCGACTGCGTCCACTAAGAACCAGGAGAGAGGCCACAATAGATGCTGCAGATGCAGGCTCCCGTTTTTTCACATCTAGCAGAACGTGTGCTGAGGCAGGTACAGATTTATTCCTACCTTAACATGCAAGCCCACCTCATTTGGAAGTCTGCTTTCTAAACTGCAGCAGGTAAAACAGTGGCAGATTAGAGGGGCTCGAGAAGCTGATACAGGAACCATACCGATGCGATGAGAAATGACAGCTGACAACGTGTCCTCTCATGAGAAAACAGAAAATCTATAAAACACACAGCCTTTCAAAAGCATTGGCCGGACTGGGACCCGCTAGTGCTAGTGTGATCAGTAAATGACAGAGCCACCAAGCAGTCCATCAGGGCGTCACTGAATAATAGAACCGAGTGCGATAATTGATGTGCCAAAGGACGCTCTTGGCCCACCGGGAAAGAGGATCGACCGCTGGGTTTGTTAGAAAACTCAGCCGTCCGACAGGTTTCACTCCCGGAGTTCCTGGTGATTAAGATTGTAAAATATTCTCCTAAATTATACAAATTAGTAATTGATTATATTAATGGACCCTTTGAAGTGATTAATCTGTTGACAAAGTATCAGTGTGAGAGAGAGAGAGATACACATAATAGGTTACTAATAAAGGTCACCTGGACGTGAATGTGAACATGACTTTATGACTTTCTTCCCAAAGATTTCAGAGGAGAGATGGCTTTAAGATCTAAATGGAACTGGGGCTTGTCGGGTCTTACAGTCACCAGCTAGTTTATCTTCATAGCCAAACGCTTGTTCTTGGTGATACAGAAAAAGAGGTTAAGTGTCCTAGGGGCTTTGTAGAGGAGGGACTCTGCACTTGCCTGTATGCCATTAAACATAATCATGTAATAGTTGTGGAGTTATGTGCTATATAGATTCCTTAGCAATGAACAACCATAATCCCTTCAAAAGCTAATATGTACTGAACACATCCACATTTGCTTTTGCTTTTAAGGCATTGCAAATAAGCACACTTTCATATTTTTAGTAGGCTGTGGCTCCCATAGGGAGAAAACGTCAAATGGACTAACCAAAGAAGACAGGCTGCTATTTAGCTAGAATGAGATCCCAGTTTATTGCTATTGCCATTATTGTCTGTTATTTGGTTCTTGGCTCTCTGTCGTAATATAATCTATATGGTGGATAGGGTCCACAGTTTCTACACCTTAGGATGAATACTGGGAAAACAGTTTTGTGAAAAGATGTTGCCGGCATGGTAACAAGGGACATGTAGGGTGGGTGAAACAATTACTCTGGCCATGCCCGAATACCCCTTTGCTCTTTTCAACCCAGATACATAATTTTTCCTTTGGAAAAAAAAAATCTGTTATTTATGACTTTCATGTTCAGTTTTTAATCTTGGCAAATCTAGCTACCCTTGCCGTTTGAAGATGATGTGTTGGACCTCCCTGTGAGCTGGACTTTTGGTTTAATTGTTTTCCCCATTAATGGTGATGGATTTGCACGGATTGAGCCACACAGTGGTTTCCAGTGTCATTTGTATCCAGTGGCATGTGTTTGCAAAAGTAATGGATCTGCGGCTGGAGCCCGTTGCAAAGCTATGTGCTCCCCAAAGAGGAGGCCGCGACCTACAGCCTCCGCTTGATTGCCAGGGTACTGTACACATCTATCGGAGAGATTATTTTATTTCCGCCCGTGGAGTCTTTGGGTGTTTACATTTGATTTCCAAGACTAGCTTTTAAGGAAAACAACATGCTTCGAGCTTACTGTTTGTGAGTGGTACCCAGACAGACGAGAGTGCAGCAGTTAATAACAGCTTTGGAGGGGGTTGGTGCACACCCCATGGCGTTCGTGTTTAGAATAAGAGCCCATAACTCTGAAGTCTCTGTCACTTGTTGTTTTTAAAAGTGAGTGAGGTGTAACTGCTGCCCAAACAGCCTCGGTGGAAGAGCTATTTGTTTTGCAAGTTAACAAAGCAGAAAAGGATAAGGGATGGGGTACCTCTCTCAAATGTTGGAAAGGGCGCTCAGAATTTCAACTGTTGCTGCAGAAAGCAAGTCTTACGTTCACAAGCAAAACACACCGGCTTAATCATTTTCCATTTCTGAGTGATGAAAGTGTCACACATCTGTATATGTGTTGTGTTTTTTTTCTCCAAGTCAGTGACGGACTATATATTTAACGTGAAGAGGCTTTACTGCAGAGTTGCCAAGGTAACTGACCAGCAAGCCGTTGAGCAGATTGCATTAGCGCACACATGAATAAAGAAAAGCCCTTGTCATCTTGAAGCCCAGGAGGCCCATGCTCGATGGTAGCCTGGCTCTGGAGATGGCAGAAATGCCTGTCATGGAAACAGGCTGAGGTACATGGTCTATCCTTGTCCTTGAACTGAGGCGTGATGCTGGAGCAGGTACCCTTTCGTGGACCCACTTCAGAACCTGCCAAGAGCTATATAGGAAATAGAATCGTTTCAGTATTACTTAAGAACCCTCCCTTTTGCTTGTAAGCTTGCTTTTGCCACCTTAGGACAGCCAAAACTACAGGAAACTGTTAGTAATTAGTCATGTAAATGGAGGAGGGTAATATATAAACTGCTACACGCCCATGAGAATTTGTGACACAATTGAAATGTAAATGGAATATTATGTATATGGAATCCATAAACATGAGACCTGTGTTTACCTCTACAGTGTTTTGTATTAGAATATATTCATCTGTTCACTAGGCACTGGTAACGTTATTTAAATATGCCCGACACCTTCTGGGTGCCAAGAAAATAATGAAGGTAAATAAAATTCAGAGCTGAACTTCAAGGTGTTTTTAATCTCCAGAGAGAATAAATTAGATACGTTCTGAAGAGATTCCTTTAGATTATTCAAAACATTTCTGTGCTTTGGATATAAACTCCCTTTTACACATAGAATGAAATAGCTGCTCAGCAGTAGTTCACAACTCTCCATCATTTGTCTCCCAGTTTTTCGCCCCCTACCTTAAATATACTCCAAGATCTAGCATCCCCGGTTTAATTCCCTTCCTTAACCGAACCCCACGGAACCTCACAATTGTAGCGTGTATGTGTGTGTGATGCTGCCATGTCTGAATTCCCCATCTCTGAGTTTCAGAATCTTGCTAGTCCTCTAAAAGCCATATTGAATCCTACATTTCCCAGAAATCTTTTCCAAGTCTTTTTAGCCTCTGTGGCTGCTCATCATGCTCCCAGGTATCGCCAGAGCAGCCTGCTCCTCTGGGATCAGACCGAGTTAGCTGGGCACTGGTCTCCCGAACCAGGTAGTGAACTCCTGGAAGGCAGAGCCTGGGTTTCATTCATCGTTGCATTCTCCACGGCCCCTTGTCTCCCAGGGGTGTTGTGGGATTCATCGGCTGAAAAAGCTCAAATTCTTATCCTCACAGTTCTGTGATTCTTACACTAACGTTTTTGAGAATGGGACCATGCCCACTGGTGAGTAAGTTGTTCTTGGGGAGAAGCTGGCCATTCTGGAGGCCCTGGGAAGGCTACTTGTGAATACTCAGCACAAAACAAGGCAGGAAGGGACGAATCTCCCCGAAGACCTAGCTTGCACCCAACCTGCAGCTTCCTTCCCTCTGTTACTTGGCCTTTGAAGTTGTGTGTTTAGTAGTAAAGCTATGAGTCTACGTGATGCTACAAGCCACATAGTTTAGTGTAGTTTTACATTTTTGGCAGCCACCCACAGGACTGCAGGGACAAGTTTTCACAGATAAAGAAACATTTTTGTGGGAGTTCCTGTTTTTACGCTGAAAAATTTACTGTCAGCGATCTCGCTATCCAGGGCTTTTAGTTAGTTGTGAGCCTGAAGTAAGCAGCATTGGGGTTCTTAAGGTTAATTACTCCATTTACAAATCCATCAGTGAGTAAGAGAAAGAACTGGCCTGATAGAGTTTATCTGTTTAAAAATTGCAGCCACTAGCCAGGCAGGAAGATAGAAAACCAAAAGAGATTGTAGAGGTGACAAGGGTAATGGCAGTAATGTGTTGGTGGAGATGCTGATATCAGAGGAAAAACAATAGGTGGAAAACTAATCAACCCAATTTGGCCATTTTAATGTACTCCCATCATATATCTTAAGTAACCAGTGAATCATGAAATCTACCCCATTTCACTTAAAGCAATTATTGGCACTGAATTTTATTATGTAATTGATATAGCTTATTTAGGATGTAGATTTATATTGCGTGAGTTATTAAATGTCAAGATCAGGTAAAATGAAATAAATCATTTCTAGGAGAGATATTAGAAATAACATGCATAGAAAAAAGTATCAATGTATTTTTTAATCAGTATATATGAAAGTTGCCTTACATAGATCGATGGTATTATACACTCTGATGTGCTTTGTCTAGCAAACAATTAATACAACATAGATTCTGACCATTTAAAAATTACACTTTATATTTTGCTTTGAAAAAAAATGTAACAGTTATGTAGTTGGTCAATTCTTATGATGAATTTTGCTGGTAATAATTTCAATGAAATCACCCAAAAGATGTTATGTTTTCATTGTTTAATAACAATTTAAAACATTAAAATGTGCCTAACTTTGTTTACATGGTATTTTAAAAGTCTCTAAACATGCCAAGTTGGAAGAGTTGTTTGATGTTTTGTTCTAAAATCACTTCCTTTTAAAACAAACTTCTTAACAATATGTTGCATGTTGCTTCAGTTTTCCCTTCCTTGCAGGACAAGTGAATTGTCAAGAGCAGATCTCACTGTCAATCTCCTTTCTCCCCTCTCCGTTTTCAGTGTACACCATCTTCTCGAAGGTGCACTCTGATCGCGATGTGTACCCATCTGCTGGTGTCCTCTTTGTTCATGTTTTGGAGAGAGAGTCTTTTAAGGGAGAATTTCCACCTTACCCCAAACCTGGTATGTCCTTGATGGGGGAAAAAAGTGATTGATTTACTAAATTTTTCTTTTTGTTCATTGTGTATAATCTAGGTGACAGATGATAAAATATTGTTAACATTTGAAATGGTTTGGGTGCATGATAAATTGGTCATTCTAGGCTATTTTCCATCATAAGATTATAAATTTAATTGCAGAAGGAAATAATTCATTTTTTATTTTGAAGAAAGCATATTTTTGGCTTCCCAGTCTTGAGCTTTGTGCTTCTGACAAATGATGTACCTATATTTTCATAGAAATAATTATAGTTTTATAATTATGACTTTCATATTACAACTTTGAATCTTATATAGTACATTGATTTTTAGGGATCTATACATATGTATAGAAGAGCATGATATATAGTATTAAGAAAGTTCTCAAAAAAGCTTTTATAATATGAAATAATTTTATATAACTTGATAATAACATAATGAAGTTTAATTTTTCCCTTAAAGTAACACCAATTGAAAAGTCTTATTTAATTCACTATTGGATTACGTTTGTGTGACAAATGTTATGAAATCAATAAAGACATAGAAGGACTGGCAAAAACAATATATTAAATTATTATAATTCTTAAGTAACAAATAAAAATGAATTTCCTAAAAATTAGAGCATTACAACTAATGTAAACATTACTTTTGTAGACTATATGATAAATAGCATACCAAAAAACACTCATAAAATATAGTTCACCATGTTATCAACAACATTCTAGAATAAAAGGTAGTCTTTTTTTTATCAGTTCTTTAAAAATTTTTTTAAATGTGGTATTCTGTGTTTGCAAAACTACTTAACTAAACCTTTTGAGCAAACTCTAATATTTGAGAAGAAAACATGTAGTTAAAAGCATAGTTTCTGGAGCCAGCCAAGATTAGATTCTAGTTTTACCACATAACATGACCACAGAGCAGTTACGTAACATGGAAAATTATACATTTCATCAGCAAGATAAGGGCTAATGATAGTACTGCTTTTATAGGTATGTTTCAAAATCAGATGAGATACTGTTGTGCCTGTAAAAATCTAGGCACAGTGCCAGGGCCAGGTACCTGCTAATAAATGATGCCATTATTATTATTTATCATTAACAAATGTTGTCATTATTACAATTCCTTTGGATTTGTAACACTTTTTTTCAACTCATCCTCCATTGTTTTAAAATTACATCATTTTTGTTTTAATGGTATTTTTATAACTTTGAGATATTCCTTAAGATTACTTTGATAGTGTCCAGAGTTTTATGAAATGAAGGCTTCACAAGAAAATGAATATCTCCACACGATTGGGAGATTTTTCTGAAAGACAGTTGTCTTATTGGTAAAGCTTTCCCACTCCTCGGTGACCAAAAGAAGAAAAAAAAAAAGAAAAATTCCTCTGAAGTTGAATGAATCTGCTTTCTTTGTTACATTAGATTTCTAGGCAAACTTAACAACCAAAAGGATTTTTTCTTTACATGAGGCCCTAATCTGAATTCCCAGATGGATTTGGTTTTATGTGTGTGTATTTAGTTTGTTACAAATGTAAAAAAAAAAAAAAATTTTTTTAAGACAGAAATATTTTGATTGAAACTACCAAAACAACATGTGTGAAAATAACTGACTTGTATTTTAATTCTGTGTTTCTTATCTAGGAGAGATTAGTAATGATCCCATAACATTTAACACAAATTTAATGGGTTATCCAGACCGACCTGGATGGCTTCGATATATCCAAAGGACACCGTATAGTGATGGAGTCCTGTATGGGTCTCCAACAGCTGAAAATGTGGGGAAACCAACAATCATTGAGGTAATTTCTTAGAATGAGCAAAATTGTTTTTTTTTTTTTGTTTGTTTGTTTTTTGTAATCTGAGTTTCAAATTTTGGAATTAAAATTACATGGCAATGGTTTTTAGCATTTTATGCATGGAAACAATGTAGATAGCATTTGGAAATGTACCAGTCCTTTCTGAGAACTTGCAGTCTTTTAAATTAAATTTATTGGGGTGGCATTAGTTAATAAGATTAGATTGGTTTCAAGTGTACATTTCTGTGATATAGGATCGCTATATTGCATTGTGTACCCACCATATATTTGGCCCCCAACACCTCTTCCCTCTGGTAACCACCATACTGTTGTCTGTGTCTATGAGTTTCAGTTGTATATCCCACATATACTTTTTTTGACTGACTTATTTTGCTAAGCATAACATTTTCAGGATCCATCCATGTTGTTGCAAATGGCAATATTTCATCTTTTCTTATGACTCAGTAGTATTTCATTGAACTAGTATATATGTACTACATCTTCTTGATTCAATCGTCTATCGAAGGACATTCTGGTTGTTTCCATGTCTTGGGCACGGTGAATAATGCTGCATTGATCAAAGGAGCACATATATATTTTTGAATAAATGTTTTCAAATTTCGGGGGTGGAAGCAGAAAAGAGAGATTGCTTGATCATATGACAACTCTCTTTTTATTTTAATTTAATTTTATTATTATTATTATTTTTTAGGAACCTCCATACTATTTTTCACAGTAGCTATACCAGTTTACATTCCCACCAACAGTGAATGAGAGTTCCTTTTTCTTTTCAACCTCTTCAACATTTATTACTTGTCTTGTTGATAATAGCCATTCTAATAAGTGTGAGGTGGTACATATTAAAGTTTTGATTTGCATTTCTCTAATAGCTAGTGAAGCTGAACATCTTTTCATATATCCATTGGCCATTTGTATATCTTTTTGGAAGAAGTGTCTGTCTAAATCCTTTGCTCATTTTTAAGTGGGAGGGTGTGTTTGGTGTTGAATTATATGAGTTTGTTATATATTTTGGTTATTAATCCCCTTGTCAGAGCTGTTGTGTTCAACTATCTTCTCCCATTAGGTTGATTGTCTTTTTGTTTTGTTGGTGTTTTTTTTTTTTTTTTTTTTTTTTTTTTGCTGTGCACAAGCATTTTAATTTGATAGAGTCCCATTCATTTATTTTTGCTTTTACTTCCCTTGTCTTTGGATCAAATTAATAAAATCTTCTCTAAGACCAAGGTCCATAAGTTTAGTACCTATGTTTCTTCAATGTAATTTACTGTTTCAGATCTCGTATTTAGGTCTTTGCTCCATTTCAAATAATTTTTGTACATGGTGACAAATTAAAGTCCAGTTTCATTCTTTTGCATCTGGCTTTCCAATTTTTCCAGGACCATTTGTTGAAAAGGCTTTATTTTCTTCACGGCACATTTTTGGATCCTTTGTCAAAAATTGTTTGCCTATACACATGTGGTTTGGGGGTTCTTAATCCTGTTCCTTTGGTGTGTTGTCATTTCACAGTTTTTTTTTTTCTTTCAACTTTTATATAAAAAAGGGGCAGTCCAAATTAGTGGAAAAAATTAAAACATTTAAAAGAAATAGGTTACTATAATATGAATTATACTTAAGAAAATAAGTGCAAACTTATCTGCTTCTTATTTTAATTCCAAATTTCATGTTCACCAAAATACAGTCATTATGCAGACATTTTGTGAACCTCTACCATGTAATGAACATTATGATAGGTGCTGGTGATAGAAGGATGAATAACAGGTGAGTCCAGGAGTTGGCGCACTGAAGTGGAAACACATACTTAGCCAACATGACAAAACTGTGATAATAAAAAGGTGCTGTTTGATGAAGAGTTGTAAGAAGGTAAATAGGAATTCACTTCACAAAATAGAAGGAAGGCAATCTTAGAAGAAAGTGCATTAAAATATTGAAGACATTAACAATCACATCTGTCTCACATCACAAAAGCATGTACACACATATACCTCAGTAAAATTTGATTGAGGTCATTACAGTATTAATATATCTCATTAGAAATAATAGGAGGACTGTATTCTATTATGACTGTTAAAGTTAAACATTATATATAAATTCAGATAATAAAGTTATTCCTCCTAATTCGTGAAATGTTTTTCACTCCCTGTAGTAGCTGTAATTTTTTTAAAAAACAATAACATTACAGTTCATGAAATTTACAATATTGAGATTTGTGATAATTATGGAAAGGCTACCCATAAAAATATTGCCACTCATTTGCAAATGTCTAATATTTCTTTCTGAGCTTTAGCTTTGAGATATTAAAACAAATATTAGAAGACTGATGCTTTTTTTCTCAGTAAGAATTTGATTAAGTTTTTTGCAGGGTGAACTTTTAAAAGCATGAAAATTCCCAAATGAAATCTTTATTACATTTTTTCATTTGCTTCTTTTTGAACAGAGTTCCTAGTTTATTTTAATAACTAGGCTTTTTTTCATTGTTAATCTAATTAATCATGTGTCCAAAAAATATAGTTAGGAAGTTATTTAATTCAACAGAAATCAGAAAGATTGTCTGGGAGAGTTCTTTTACCTTTGAATAATAGTCTGGTTTTCAAAATATATACTTTTAAATATTATTAAAGGTTTGGAGTTACTCCAAAATTTTGATTTTTACTGTATTCTTAAATATATCTGAGTGTAATTTATTTTATTTAAAGCTTTATGATGCTATGAAAACCTTTGATATTTGTTTTTATTTTTTTAATTTATCTTTATTGTTGAAAGTATTACATATGTCCCCTTTTCCCCTCCATTGAGCCTCTCCATCCCACTCCAACCCCCTCCCCAGGCCTTCACTACACAATTGTCTCTGATCATGGGTTATGCATATATGCATGTAAGTTCTTTGGTATCCATTTTTAAATGAGCAAGATATTTCTTTTATGAGTCAGTTTGTTCTACTTTTTATTCTCAGTGTCAACCACAGCTGATATCACTGCCAGAAGGCTGGTGCCGGGATGCTAAGACTTTGCACAATCTATTAGTTTTGGGGGGTTTTGAGGTACTGCAGACCTATCTGAATGATTTCCTATCTGTTTTAAAGTTAATTATTCCTTGATTTTTGAAGTATTATCGTGATTTTGGCCTTCGCTTTGTTTGTTGTTTGCAGTGGCTGTTTCTGAGTTGACTTTGATGTGAGGTCATTGGCTCTGCAAATGTTTACTAATATTTGACTGTACAAAGGGATTGATCTGTGTTTTTGAGCATGAGCCATAAGCTTGATAGACCATGACCCTTACTGCTTTACTCTCGTCGGAAGTGGAGATACGATATCCCAAGGGTTATTCATGACATTTTTTTTTTTTTTCTGGTTGGTGTGCAAACAACACAGAGATGTGCTTGCTTTAATGTGTCCTTTCCAGTACAAATCCTTAAGTTTCATTTAAAAATACAAAAATAAAAGTTGTTTTTGGTGCTTTTGAAATTTTACAATGGCACTGGTAAGTAATTCATAATGGTTAACCCATTTACTAATGGTACCTCTGCACTGTGATGAGCACTTAACGGTCTTCCGTGAAAGAGACACTGATTTTAACTCATTTCAGCATGTTAAATAGACCTGACTAATGATTTCTCTTCCCATAATATTGCTAAAAGCTCTGAGTTCTTATTGCATAGAGAAGGAATATTTTGTAAGTATATAAACAAATCATGAAAATGGAAAGAAGGGCGGCATGTTTTCATTTTGTCCTTAATGAATTTTATTTTCCAAATAACATTTCACTTTTTTAATATGATTTTCATTTTCTGATAGATAACTGCCTACAATAGGCGTACCTTTGAGACTGCAAGGCATAATCTGATAATTAATATAATGTCAGCAGAAGGTAGGTATGAAAAAATATGTTGCTGATTACTTCCTTGTTTACAAGAAGTATTTTATTATGTCTTATGTCTGTGTAAAAATAATGTTAAGGATTTTTAAGTACCGATATCTAAAATAACTAATGAAATAGTAAAATGTAGAAAAGAAAACTAGGCAATATTTAATTTGTTATAAATATCATGATGTGTTAGGATGCCACTTATTTCTCCAGGCCTCGGTTTCATCATCGGTAAAATAAAACTAAGAATAAAATTGCTCTTTTCAGTCTGGTATACAGATTCCATGAATTAGGCATGAAATGTGCTTCTCACAGCACTGAGCACAGAGTGCACTAACAGTAATTATTAGTTAATTTCATTATTTTTCTTTAAAATTTATAGTAGTGTTTTTTTTTTTGTTGTTTTTTTTTCGTGAAGTTAAGAAGTTACTGATGGACAGAAGTAAACTGTAATTTGGGTCACACACTCCTTCCTAATAGCTAATCATGGATCAGTAATTGCCAGAGTCCATCAGCAATTTAGAGTTACATATGCTCAAATTGTAAGTGATTCCCAAGGATTTGGAAAGACCAAGGGAATACCTACTCCAAGAATTACGCTTTCAAATACTCTGACCCTAATTTGGCACTTGATTGGGAAAAATACATACCACTAAAAAGTTGGCGGTTAAAATGTATGTTATGGGAGACTCCCCTCTATACCCGATATCATTTATGAATGAGGGTAACAGGAGGAGAACGGACATTTTCCCTCCTGAAAGCAGGAAAAACTGTGTGTACCCTGGGAAGGGGAATTTTTCTGTTTATCAGTATAATTAAAAACAAACGAGCAAACCCCCCCCCACACACAAAAAAAAACTGCATCAGAACCTACTAATTTGGATTGTGTGATAACCAGCAAAGGCGAGGTTAAAAGTTGCTTTTATACTATATAAAAGAGAACAATTTCTGAAGATTTGATAATGCGATCCAAAGTTGAGGAAATTGCTTGAAGACTTTGAACCCTTTTACATGATCCCCCCCCCCCCCCAGGGGTTTTAGCAATATCAGTTTCAGACAACAAATCTGCTGGTTTAAAATTTTGAGTGACTTTTATCTATGCAAAACAAGTCCCAATGCTGGTTCTGTAGGCTTAGACAGAAAATTCCCTGTCCACTTTTTCACTTCTCGAGGGCTTTGGTAGGTATTGACATTGGGATCAGCGAGACTTGTACTTGACTCCAGTTTTATTCGGATGCTTGCATCCAGTCTAATCGGTCCCTGTAGAATTAAAATGCCCTTCATGAACAGAATAATTGCAAAGTTTTCTTTTCCTAAGGACTTCAACAGTACAGTTAGCTACATGGGCTTGGGCCACTAACCTCACCATGAGGCTCTCAGAGTGGCTCAAAGCCCTTTGTCAGATATGGGAGTCCCTATTGGTCTGTAGTTGGAACCTCTTCTCTCTCAGGTCTCCTCTCCGTCCTATGGATTACGCTTTCCTCATAGGTGCCATAGATGTGTGGGGAGCCATGTCCAAGCAGACACTATTGGAAAACCTCTACACAACTGTAGAATTAAAAATAGGCATGTTGAAGTGTGTTGATGAGAAAGAGTAGAGGGGTTTGGGGTTTTTACTTCCGATGGAGTTTTTATTTACTGCTTTTTACAGAGAATTCTGGGGCCACAGAGTATGAAAACCAGGGGACCAAGTGGCATGTGTTTGTCCTTGCTGGTATAGATGGCATCTATATGGGTTCATGGATGTGCATATTTGAGCCCGACCTCCACACATGCCATTTCTTCCAGATAAAGTTGGGGAAAGAAGTCAGAGTTGCCTATCAGAATAATCATGCTTAGTCTGACTCCTTGCCCAGCTGTCTCTTGCTTGGTGAGGCCTAATGGGAAATGAGTCCTGTAGACGCACACAGCCTGGAGCTCAAGGAGAGCACGCAGAGTGACTCTCCAAATTGGGTTCAGTACCTCAGAGGCTTGCCACCAATCTGTTGGCCTACTGCTCCCTTGGCCTCTCTGATGTCCAAATATAGCAGGCCTGGGATTTTCCCAAAGTTAGAAAGCTCGAGTGACTCATCTCTGGGAGTGCTGGCAGCCACACTTGGCCGGGTAGACAGCAGGCAGCTGCGCAGCCTGGAGCCTCTGAGGGGTGTGGCGGCACCCGGTCTCATAAAGGAACGACCAAGTGGGGTCACATGGATTAGGAAAAGCCAAGAAACAGTTCTCCAAAAAGTAACATGGGTCATACATAAGAAACAAGTTTTGAACAGTGGGTGGAAAAACACTGAATGAAGTTAGTAGAGGATAGACTTCTGACAGACTCAGAAATGTTACTTGGCATTATTTAAAAATGCCATTCATTGCCAAGAAACAGTTCTTCATGGCATATTTCTGCACAAGCATTTCTTGGTATGGGGAAGAATGTAGTATGATTAAGCTACTGTTTATCTATAAGAAACTGTAAATGTTTCTATATAAAACAGGAAACTTATCTATATAAAAGAGGCCATATATATATATATGTGTGTGTGTGTGTATGTATGTGTATATATATATATATATACATATATATATATATATATATATCACCTTTTAGAAGATTGCAGATGGCCTGTACATCAAGCAAATCTAATAAAACCATAAGCAGAATAAATGACAGAGTCAGAAATGAGTAAAGAATCTTCTGTGATTAGGGCCTTGAAAAACTCAGTCTTTAGGAAGAGATGCCACACTTTAGAAAACTCTTTTGAGCTGAGACCGGTTTGGCTCAATGGATAGAGCGTCGGCTTGGGGACTGAAGGGTCCCGGGTTCGATTCCGGTCAAGGGCATGTACCTTGGTTGCGGGCATGTCCCCGGTGAGGGGTGTGCAAGAGGCGGCTGATCGATGACTCTCTCTCATCGATGTTTCTAACTCTCTATCTCTCTCCCTTCCTCTCTGTACAAAATCAATAAAAATATATATATATAAAAAGAAAACTTTAAAACCAGAATGGCCTACCCTGACATCACCACAGGCATTCATACCCTTGCATATGCAAGCGGCTTCATAAGAAATGAGGTCATCATGATTTCAGTTGTTTATTGTGTAGTTTTTATTTTTTATTTTATTATTAAGTAAGTATGGAAAACTTTATATATATGAGTTTTAATGAAATAAGTCAGAAGGTGTATACAAGTATAGATTAATCTGTGTATAGTCCAGAAACATTTTGACTTTTCTTTTTAAGGGAAGAATTCAGATAACCAACCTATTTATATTATTAAAGTGATTGCTAAAGTTTATATTATTATAGTAATTGCTAAAGAGAAGCACTTGGTATACAGTCTCCCTTAGCTTAGATAAAAATTATATAAATTCAAATGATGGTACATTTTTGGACCTCAAGGATCAGATTCCCCTTCTGAAAGAATGGAGAACACCACAAAGACCTAATCACCCTCTGATTGTGAGTAATAAATGTGACGATTCACCTCAATCCATTAGTTTGTAAGTATTAAGAAAAGGAGCTTTTATTATTACAGAAATATTATTAAACAAAAAGAAAGCCACTTTTTATCTTAACATAACAATTAGAATAAGGGGAATGATGATTTATAATTCACAATAAATTTGATAAAATGAAATAAATTATATTTACCCTTTATTGAGAGTATGAAATTGGACATTCAATTGTTTTAAAATATTAATTTTGAAATCTTTGGAGAGAAATATTGATGAGCTATTAGGGAAGAGGAAAACTAAATGTGTATGAGCTAGGGAATTTAATGAGAACTTTAAAATGTAATTTTTCTAGAATATGTAATTATGGAGTGATCAAAATAGTAATATTGTTATAATTTAAGAATTTTTATTGAAAATATAATCAATATTTATTTTAGTAGAAAATAATATTTTAGCATGCTCCAAAATACAGTCATACATCACATAACCACATTTTGGACTGCAGAGAGGAGCTGGCCCCATAAGATTATAATGGAGCTGAAAAATTCTTATCATCTGGTGATACTGTAGCCATTGTGACAAGGTAGCACAATGCTAAGCTCTTGTTTTAAATAAATTGAGGGTAGCCTGAGTGTACAGTTGTTATAAAGACTACAGTGGTGGACAGTAATGTCCTAGGCCAGTGGTTGGCAAATTCATTAGTCAACAGAGCCAAATATCAACAGTACAACGATTGAAATTTCTTTTGAGAGCCAATTTTTAAAAATTTAAACTTCTAACGCCACTTCAAAATAGGCTCGCCCCGGCTGTGGTATTTTGTGGAAGAGCCACACTGAAGGGGCCAAAGAGCCGCATGTGGCTTATGAGCCGCAGTTTGCCGACCACGGACCTAGGCCTTCACCTTCACTCACCCCTCACCCAATGACCCACCCAGAGCAACTTCCAGTCCTGTGAGGTCCCTTCATGGTAAGGGCCCTATACAGGTTCAACAGTTTTTATCTTTTATACCATATTTTTAAATTTTTTTGTCAATTTTGCTTTACATCAAATCTTATTTTATACTATTATAGTTCCAGGTACAATATATCTATATTTTTACTGGACGTTTTGACATACAGATACTTTCCATTGTGTTACAATTGCCTGCGGTGTCTAGTGCAGCGACTTGCTGTACAAGCTTGTAGTCTAGGAGCAATGGCTATGCCATTCGGCCTAGGTGTGTAGCAGCAGGCTGTGCCACCCAGGGCCGTGAAGGGCGCTCTGGGATGTTTGCACAATGCATCTCTCTGAGCATATTCCTGTGGTTAAGCAATGCTTGACTATACCGCACATTAAAAACGTGTTATTTCAAATCATATACCAGCGAGCCACAATCAAGTACTGATAGTTCATGATGTTCTCTCTACTGGGAAAGAATGTTGCTTTGTATCTCAACTTCTTCCTCTGTTCAAATGGGAACAGCACTGCTTAGGGTTGTAATGATTAAAGGAGATGATATATTTGAAAATGATCTGTTAATTTTAAAACACTATTAATACAAAATATCCCTACCCATGTTGTGTTTTGGAAGTGCCCCTTCTGCCTGCGTGATGCAAGGGAGGAGGCCAGCAGGTCGTTGGCTAGTTGGAAGTTGATTTGGCCTTTTTTTCATTCCTTTTCACTAAATCCTATCATTATTAATTGTCCTTTTGTGCCCTTGAATTTGAATGCATGGTAGATAAAAATCTGTGTCACCTATATGTTATATATACATATTTTTAGATATACATCCCTGTTACACAGAAAGCCTTTAAAGTCAGGATTAATATCATTTTCCAAAGGCAGCACTGTGACAGAAATAAACAAGTGTAGAATGGTTCTTTTGTTTCCCTCTCCAAAGACCACTTCACTGAAACTATGCATACCCCTTTCTGCCAAAACTAGATTTCCCGTTACCATATCAAGCAGAGTTCTTCATTAAAAATATGAACGTGGAAGAAATGCTGGCCAGCGAGGTCCTCGGAGACTTCCTGGGGGCAGTGAAAAATGTGTGGCAGCCGGAGCGTCTGAATGCCATCAACATCACGTCGGCTCTGGACAGGGGCGGCAGGGTTCCGCTCCCTATCAACGACATGAAGGAGGGGTGAGTAGACCTTTATCTTGTCTCCTCGCACGTGAGTTTTAAAATAGGGTGATCTTATCATAGTTATTACAGATGGAAGACAGTCTACTGCATTTTTAAAAAATAAGATGTGGTATTGTAAAGATACGAAAATACTAGCAATTTTCTGTATTGATAAAGAGGTTACGTTAATTGTTCTTTATAGCTGATGTGCCAGGTCCCGTGGCATCTAATTGCAGATCAGGATCAGCAATCATAAATTACAGCGTGAAGTCTTTTGTACCTTCCGTAGAGAAACTGATTATTTAGGACCCCCGTGATTTCAAAGGATATCGATGCCCCAGTTATCAGCTGCAGAAGGACATGCGGACTTTATTCTAGGAAACTATTTCTTTGCCTTTAACATTCTTTCCACCATGTGTCAGTGACTGGCCGAAGCGGATCTGAGGCCCATTCCTAAAGCCGGGCTTGGCCATTCACAAGCTGGATGATGTTGGCGAAATGCTGCCTTCCTCTGTGCCTCAACCTCCTCATTTGCTCCAATGGGGAGTTTACGCTCCCTCGAGTTTGTCACGATGGTGAAGTGAAACAGTGCTTCTGAAAGCGATTTATCTGTTCTCTAGTCTTATAGAGTATGACTCAGCCCCTCGTAGAGGTTCAGAAACACTCTTATAGCTGGGCAAATGGAAAAGTCAGTGTCAACTAGACTTTGATCTTTAATTTTTAATCTGTAGGTTGAGGCAGATCCTATAAATAGATATGGAATGAGTTATATTTTGGGTAGCATATTCTCTTTCCAACTCCTTCATTCATATTCCTGATGACATTTCTACACAAATGATATCTGGAACTACCTAGAATGCCTGGATTAATCAGAATTAAATTTAAGGGCAGCTAACAAGGAGGACGTTGTTGGAAATAAGGGAGAATAAATATCACAAGTAGACGTAACTAATGTATGAGGGAGCAGGCATAAGCGGGGTAAGGGCTAAGCAGTGAGCTGTCAAATCCAACTTACCCATTTCAGAATGAAACCGTACCTGCTGTGTGACAGCACTGTGTCCTGAAGCCAGCCAAGCACACTTAGAAGTGCTGCTTTAGCTCTTGTTTGTTGGGCAGTTTTTTAATGTGAAAACATAATTCTAGAATTCACATGTTTACAACATGATTCTCTAAGTAATTAAGAGAGAATCGTGGAAAGATAAATGAATAGCCCTTACCGGTTTGGCTCAGTGGGTAGAGCGTCAGCCTGTGGACTGTGAGGTCCCAGGTTTGATTCTGGTCAAGGGCATGTGCCTTGGTTTCTGGCACATGGCCCGTAGCGGGTGTGCAGGAGGCAGCTGATTGATGTTTTACTCTCATCAATGTTTCTAACTTTCTATCCCTAATTCCTCCCTCTTCCTTCCTCTCTGTAAAAAAAATCAATAAAATATATTTAAAGAAATAAAGAGAAAGAAATGCACAGAGATTATCTCCCCAGAACGCCTTCTCCAGATGGGGAATCTTTTCAACATTTGTTAAAGCCACGTGTTCTGTGCTGATTGTCCACACAGCGAGCAGAGATGCTGGAGGGCACCCCAGGAGAGCCAGGCATTGGGAGAGGTTCCCATAGGGGTACTCTCTTCTGGGTGCAGCCCTTCTCCCCTCAGTAGTTGAGGCACTTTTGGAAACTAAACTAAATTGAACTAAGTAACTCTCTAAACCAAACTCCGAACTAAAACAGTGCTTCCCAGCCATGGCTAGCCTGAGACTTGTCAGTAGGCACTTTAATAAAAATACAGCTAGGTTCCGACCTCTCACTCCTCTTAGGGATTCTGAATCTTTGAGTCTGGGGCTGGGGCTGAGCATGTGACTCTAAATTAAGAACGGAATTTTTGTCCCTCAAGTACTTGTTAGAGAATTCAGTCATTAGCTGACTGACCCCCAACACCTGCTAGAGGGTGGCATGTGCTATCAGACATTGAGAGAGTCAGTCCCATGACATTTATTTGGACCTTGTCTCAGATCCCTTCCCAACTTGAAATGCTTTCCACGAGTTTTAATTTAATGTTAAGCCATAACCTTTACAAAGTATTCAAAAAGTCTTTCAAAATAGTGTTTCTATAAATTATACCCAAAGCCAACTCTATCACTACAGTATCCCTCTACAAGCGCTAATTAATTAAAATCCTCCATGAGTTTAATTCCAGAAGAAAACTTGTCTCTGGGAATGATTTTGCATATTTTCTTCAGTTGTTACCTCATGTTGTAGTAACGATTTTTTTTTTTTTTAACCCTCGTTGCATTAAATTTAGAAATAAATCCAATGCTTAACTCATCTCTTGTGCCTTCATTTCTTTTCTTAATGGTGTATATCATAATTACCAATTCATTGAATAAACTTTTGCCTCTGCACTTTTTTTGAAAATAGAAAAATTTTGAACATGGGCTTCAAATCCCTTTTTAAAATGAAATAGTGAAAAGATCAAGAGATAGGTCAGAGAAAGCAAGGAAAAAATCCCTTCTTTTTCTAAAATTTTGTTTAAAAATATATTCATACATTTCAGAAGTACTCATGAAGTACCTAAAGATATGTAATTAGCATAAGCCTCAGTCTCTGATATTTTTTTTTTTTAACAACATTCTTGAAATGTTTTTTCTATTTCTCATGGCAGCCATAATCCACTAATTGCAGGTGTTTCCGTATTTGCTCTATATGGTCAATGAGGAAGAGAAACTCACACGGTAGAGCCTCAGAGTGAGCTCACAGCCAGTCCCTGCAGAGCCCAAGCACCATTAAATGTCAATCATCAAGAGTCCATTCCCCAGAACCCCAGCTCCTCTTTCTTCATCTTTTTAACAAATATATATTTCATTGATTTTTTTTTTTTTTTTTTTTTTTTTACAGAGAGGAAGAGAGGGATAGAGAGTTAGAAACATTGATGAGAGAGAATCATTGATCAGCTATCTCTTGCACTACCCTTACTGGGGATGTGCCACAACCAAGGTACATGCCCTTGACAGGAATTGAACCTGGGACCTTTCAGTCCACAGGCCGATGCTCTATCCACTGAGCCAAACTGATTTTGGCTCCTCTTCTTGAGGTGTATTTTTCATCCCCGCAGAACTCACTGACAGCCTTCAGACTTCTCCTCCATCTACCAGGAAACAATTATAATACAAAGATACATACGTCAGAGTGAGTAAGCTCCTGCAAAGGAACACTGGAGCCTCCTGGAAAGATTCCCTCTCACTCGCCAGACCTGCAACCCCAGGGCAACTGGGCTCTCTCCCAGTGTGTGGTCTTGGTCCCACTTTTGCCCCTGAGGTGGAGCCAGAGGCTGAGTACTCTGTGGATGCATTTAGCCTGGGATAAAGCTCGTGGAGAGAGCAGCAGGTTCATATTTCATTCTAGGCATGGCATAGCTGCCAACCTGGGGTGAGTGGTGTGGTGTAAATGGTGGCCAGGAAGGGAATGATGGGGTGTGAGGATTAAAGAATACGCTCACTTTTTATAAGAGATTGTCAAACATACCACTGTTTCCTCTGGTTCCCAAAGCGTGTGGAGCTAGCCCCAATCAGCAATCGAGAATCCTGGTTGATTCTCTCGCGGAGTGCTCCCTGTGATTAATGGTTTGCTTTCCCCCCTACCAAGGCCTCAGGGAGAAAATGTAAGTCAGTGGCTGCCAAATACCGCTCTGATGCAAGGTCACGAGCCTGGGCCAGTCTCTGGTGCTCTGCTGGATTGGCCCCATGTTTGGTAATTTACAAGATTGTCTTTTACTCTCAAATAACAAGCCTTTGCTATTTTGGGTGCATTATTTTCAAATAATGTGCCTTTGATATCCTTTCATTTAAGGAACGATGGTGATATCAGATAGGAATTTTTAAAAATTACAGTGTGTGTGTGTATGTATATATATATATATATATATATATATATATATACACACACACACACACACACACACACACACACACACATATATATATGAAGACCCTTATGAATCTGTTTTTATAAGTATAAAAATAAATAAATGAAATCTATGCAACTAGATATTTAATATCATATCTAGTCTTCTAAGTTCTACACATACATTCATGCTTTTCTTTCATAGTTTAGTATTTAGTATTTTTTAGGGGTGAATAGTATATTAGTCTGGGGGTACAGTGATTTTAAAATTACAGTCTATGGCCCGACTGGTGTAGCTCAGGAGTTGAGCGTTGACCCAGGAACCAAGTGGTTACTGGTTCAATTCCCAGGTTGCAGGCTCAATCCCCTGTGGGAGGCATGGAGGAGGCAGCCAATGTTTCTATCCCTCTATTCCTCTCCCTTACTCTCTCTCTCTCCCACTCTAAAAAAAACAACAACAATATTTTTTTTAAAAAATTACAGTCTATGTTCACAGTCCATTAGGGTGCAGACAGTAGTCAGAACATCACACCAAAGTGTGGCACATGCTACAGATGAGGCTGTCATAGTGAACAGTGCTCCTCCCACGTCAGGCGGATGCCTAAAAAGGGTCCATGGAGGAGGAGAACGGGAGCCTGACCCGAGTTTAAAATGTGAACACAAATCAGCCTGCTCAAAAAACGAGGCAGTGGGGGATTCTAGGCAGAGGGAATGGCTTGGGCCCTGAGGGAGAAGAACGCGTAGTGCATTTGGAAATGGAGGACAGGGATCCAAAAGTGATAGTTACCAGGCCACATAAGGCCTGTGCACCAGGAAAAGTGTGTGGATTTTATCCTGAAGCATTAGGGACCTTTGCAGCAAATGGCTGCTATTAAAGTTTTCGTTTTAGCGGGTGGGCGTGCTCAGCCTACCCCATGAGAGAGCAGGGCAGACCCCAGCGTCTCCTCTCTGCAAACAGGAGACCCCAGGAAGCCAGGAAGGTCTGGGCCTGTGTGCCTGTGGCCTCTTCTGAGAACCCATTCCTCCTCCAGGGAGAGGATTGAGCAAGCAGTGGGACTACACCCTTGAAGTGTCCTTTATTTTGTTTCTATTCTGATTTAGGTTATTTGTTTAGTTTTATGGTGATTGG